GGAACCAAGGATGTCAAAGTAAATTGGAAAAGATAGAATCCTGGCAGGCATCTGGGGCTTTGGCTTACACTTGAGGAAAATGTTGTGTCTAGATTGCCCACAGTTACAAAAAGCAGAGGAACAACAATTGAATTTCAGTTGATTTTGCTGTTGAGCTATCAGGAGATGGGTTTTCTTTAAAAAAAAAAAAAATTCTCAATAAAAGTCAAGTATTTACTGAATTCGTTATTCTACAGACATCTGCATTGGAAAAATACTTGAAATTCTTCTCATATCAGTGGATTTAAATGTTATTCACCAGTAATTCTTTGGGGCTTTGAAGCTTTCAGCTAAAGTTTTGGTTTATGACTCGGTATTACCTGGTGTTATTGGCTTTGTTGCCATTTCTCATGTCAGGAAACTTCATCTACTGAAACCATTTGTGAAGCTATGCCATGCATTCCCGTCAAAATAAAACAGCATTTAATACGCCTTGTTTCAGTCAAGCTATTTATTTTAGCATCTTTGTTTAAATGATCATAAGCAAGGGGTAATGTATGTAGTACTAATAATTAAATGAAATATTGAGATTCACATTTATTTTGATTTTGGTTACATTTTTCTCCAACTGAGATATCTCTTTCTTTATGCATAATGATAAATATTATAGCAATTTTTTGAAACAGAAGTATAGGTATTGGCTTTAGAAATTCTCATATTGTAGAAAACACCTTATCCTTTCTGGATTTGGGGGTTATTTTCGATAAACATTTAAAAGAAAAGTCTTAAAAATCATTCTCTAATTTCTGAGCTAAGTTACTCATTTACTTAGCAATTATTTGTGATAAAAATTAAGATTCTTTTTCCCCTTTCAGAGCACGCCCTAGATCCAGAATCAACTTCCTTTTATTTAAATACAGACAGCAGGGATATAGAAATTGGGAGTCCTTTGCACTAGTGAGACTAGTAATTAATAATATATATTACTTTCTGGTTGTTTATAATAATTCACCTTGTATGAAGTTAGCACAGAAAATTAATAGCCTTTGTAGTTTCATTCTACATGGAGAGGTTTAATTCTTAGTTTTGTTGCCTCAATGATGAATGCAGTCTGGTATTGCTGACAACATCTATTGTTCTCATCCCCCCGACTTCCTCAGTGGGGATGGAGAAGGATTTTATAAGTAGAAGTAGCTTCTAGAACCACATCTTTACCCCTATAATGATCCATATATTCCCAAGGAATGCCTCCAAATGTTGCAAAGCAATGATGCCTGAAAAGGAGACTTAAAGGAAAAGCACTTAACGTTTCTTGTCATATTTGGCTTTTGTATCATCAGAGCATTTCTTTTGGTCTGTTTTAATCTCAAGCTATGGAAACATTGAAGTCTCCAGGAGTTCTGTAGAAGATGGAAGTATTTAAATAAAACTGTTGTAATTTGGGGGTATGATATTTATACCACTCTATGAATATTGCTCTTACTGTATATTTAAACAATGTATTAAGGATGAGTGAACTGACCTACAGCGTGTCAGCTTGACACAAACCAGAGGCAGATGGAATGAGGGGCCCAGGCACTATGTCTTCCACTGGAGTATTGTGCCATTTGCAAAAACACCGCATATTTCACTATTCACACAGCCAATGACCAGGGGTGAACTCTGAGGAAGAAATGATTTAGTGATGTTGTGTAGAGGTCTTACTAAAACTTAATGTAAAGACCTAAGTCTTACACATTCAGGAATTTCACCTTTGATGTTAAGATCAGCATGGAGAAAACTGTGGAAGAATGCAGCAAGATTTAAAAACTGTCTTAAATGATCTACGAGGGTGAAACATTTGCTGATTATGTAATGCCAATTCCCTAAACAGGATTAACTTTTTTTTTTTTGTGTGTGTGTGAAAATGACACTTTAAAATGCAACAATAATTAAAACCTGATTCTTGCAAGTATAGACACATGTGGCTAGGTTACCCTCCTTGAATTATTAAGAAAACAACCCAACTTTACAAACTAGTAAATTTGTTGGCAAAAAATATGGTTCTGTCAATTGTGTCCTCAAATCACATCGACTCTAACTCTTCTCACCCATCAGCTTGATGTGGGAATCGATGGAAACTATCCCTCGCCCTCTCATCATTTCTTCATTAAGTTGGAGAATTGGCTGAAGAGTCCCATTGAATGTTCTAAGTTAGCATCTGGAGTTGGTGGTAAGCTGTTAACATTGTCAGGTGAGGAGGGAGGAGGGCCAGAAGAAGGCAAGGCTGAGTGTGGAGGGACTAAAGAGAGTCTTAGGGATACATTGGAGGTTGGAGCCTCAGAGGTTGGGCAAGCTGGGCTTTTTTGGATTTTGAGCAGACAGTTTGGGGTGGATATTCAGAGGTTCAAAAGGAGCAGAGATTATAGGCAAATCCATGACTGAGGTGTCAGAACTCAGTGTCTGCTGCAGCCTTGTGGGGTGGAGAAAACGGGTTGGCATTCAGAAGTCCCACATAGGGATTAGTACAGGGGTTTAGCTGAAGCAGCCGGACATAGGCAAACATATAATTTTAACTTTGTTATCAGTGGAGAGCCCTCTGGGTCCCCACTTGTTACTGGTGGAAATGGAATTATTAGGGTTCCGCTGGGAAAAGAATTTCCTGAGGCCCCCAGGGAAGGATGAGGTATCATGGAACACTTTACTGATGATATAACATTAAGGGGATTCTCTTCCAAGGCCCCATCTCCCTCTGTCTGACCATGCAGAAAGTCTAGCCTTGTCTTCAATTGGGCTAGAATTAAGGCCACTGCCCAGAGTCTCCACTCCATATTAAAGCACAGTCCAGTCTAGCATCTGGCTTGCTTGGCTTGTGTTCCCGGTTGCAGTCTGTTGTGTGTGGGGTCCACATGCCCATGAGCCATGCTGCTGGTTAAGGCCACATGGTAGGCTAGCACAGGGAGGAGTGCAGGCCATGGAGAAAATGAGAAACAGGTGTGCCAGAGAGCCCTCTTTGGGGATTGTACCTAGGAGCTTAGCTAATTGGCCCTTTAGGATTTTGTGCACTTGCAGTAGCACCCTCCCTCTAGCCAATGATCCTTTTCCCAGCTTAGACTGACAGGCAAGTACTTTCTCTATGTCACCCCAACTTCACTGCACATGTGCCCATCTCCTTCTTTATTCAATTCCTTCCCCCAGTGATCTATAGGGAATGGACTTGTGGTTCCCTGGGGAGTATGAAGTTGCAGCTTCCTTATGAAGCTGCCCAGATGACCATGTTTATGTCTGGCCTCTCCATTGCATATATATATATATATATAATCAATGGAGAGGCCAGACATAAACAATAAAATTATATATATATATATATATATATATATAATCTCAGTGACTGTTATGACCGAATGACCAGAACGACTATTGGACCAGTTGCTATGATGTGCACTGACCACCAGGGGGCAGATGCTCAATGCAGGAGCTGCCCCCCCTGGTGGTCAGTGCACTCCCACAGCCAACCTCCTGGGTCTCTGCCCCTGGCCAGCTGGCCCCCTGATAGGCCTCAATCACTGGCTAGGCCAAGAGACCTTACCTGTGCATGAATTTATGCTCTGGGCCTCTAGTTGTTAATATTAGCTAGCTAATTATGACAACAACAACTTAGGGCATTATCCAGGGATAAGAAAAAAAGACAGGTCCAGGAGATAAGGAAAATTTTCTCCAACCTTAAGCCATTGGGTGAGTTCATGCAATATTATATTAATCTCAAGACAGGGTTAATCTCTCTTTTGTACTTAAAAAAGTTTTTTTTCTTGGAGTGAGCTTAACTTAATAAATTATTTTGGATCTTTAAGTTTTATAAATTTCTCTCTTTTTTTTTCTATAAGAGAGAAAAGAAAAATAAAGGGTACAGATTCCTTTCAGTGCTCTGAGATGTAATTTCCAACCAGCAGGGTTTTGGTAGGGTGAGGGTGGATGGGGGCTTCCAGCTCAACACCAAGCAATCTCATGCACATCTGATTCAATTCTTACCATCCTGAAGCTCTCTGAACCCCTCCTTTTTTTTTTTTTTTTTTTTTTTTTTTGTGGAGGCTTCCTTACATAATAATGATAGACCATTGATAATTGATTCAATCTCAGGAGGTGGTGGTATGGAGGTGGAACTGCAAATTCAAACTCTGTAATCACATGGTTGGGTCTCTTGGCAACCAGCTCCCATCCTTAAGGGAGATTCAAAAGCCACCTCATTAATAATAACAAAAGACACCTTTATGACTTTCATAACTTAGAAAATTCCAGACTTTTAGGAGCTCTTTGCCAGAAAAAAATAAAAAGGATGAAGACCAAATATATTTTTCTTATTATAAATCACAATATCACAGGTTGCTCCCATTTTCCCATGAAAAACTGACAGCCAGATCAAGGTTTGAGGGTACTGGGAGAAGAATGGGTTTGTTTCACAGGACTCACGCTTTCTCTTTTGGGATTCACCCCTACTTTTGCCTGGGAGAAGCAATATTCCTGAATCTTCCGGAGCTGAAGTCCTTCTTTCTCTTGTCTGATTCTCTGTTACTGTGATATGACCCTGCTCAAAGACGAGGCATGGAAGATGGGTTGAATAAGAGGGTAAGCTTTGCTACCATGTGTGTTTTTGAATAATAACAAAATATCTGTGATATAGGAATAGAATTTAATAGATATGAAACAATTTTCTGAATACAGCTTTACCTTTCACCCAATAGGAAACCCTGTTATACTCAACAATAATGCTTGGCATGGACAACAGAAACTTGTTTTATTTTCTTCAACTTAAAGACCAACATAAAGTGGATCTTTACACTGTTTGCTATATAGTGAGTGATGAAGGAATCCAATAAGGGTTGGGGTCTGATAGCATAGGTTTTGTGGAGAAAGCTGGTTCAAGAATAAGAGATCATGGAGGAGGTCTCCTGGGAGCTCACATTGCCTGGACAATGGCAGGCATGTTGGAACCAGGACAGCTGCTGCTCTGAGGTGCTGAGCAGTGGACCCCGCTGGCAGTGAACATGCGGAGCTGGTGGCTGTGTTAGATCTGCACATGGGGGTGACATCATTGTCCACTTGAAACCATAAGGATTTACGAAAATTCTGGCGTGTTTTGCCCAACAACCAAATATTTGGAAACATGTCCTACATATGGCGATATTCTTCCATCTCAGAGTCTTAAACCCAAGCAAGAAGTTCAAGTGTACCGTGGTAAAATGGAAGGAATACCAACATTTAAGTAAATATTGAGAAACTCCATGCTTTACTTCTTTTTTCTCCCAACTCTTCTGGTCTTAATAAAGTTGTTTAACTTTTAAAAGAGAGAGAGAGAGAGAGAGAGAGAGAGAGAGAGAGAGAGAGAGAGAGAGCGAGCGAGAGAGAGAGCGAGCGAGCGCATTGAGGATAAATTTGTGAGGAATGAAGTTGTGGGAAGAAGGCTAGGGGTTATGGTTTTGATGGTTAGCATACTAGGAAGTATCTTAGGTACTAATGTAGCCCATGCTTTCACTTTTATTTCATTCATTTTGTTTACTGTTGACTTTAGATTGATAAATAGTTCTGAAAGAATAAGGAGAACCTGTGAATTACGAGGGTTAGATGGAGGTCTTGAAAGAATCTCTGTTAGAAAGCAGTATGTTTTACCCAAACTGAATTTTGAACAGTTTTATTTTTTGAAAAAATCTGCTTCAAAATCATGGGTAGTGATGATATTCTTAAAGAACTACAGGAAAACATTTGACAATTAAAGTAAATGGTTTTCCAGGGAACTGACAATACCTTGTACATGAGTGGGAACAAATACATGAGCTGCAGGCCTGAGGTTTTCTGCTCCAGAATCATTCACTTTCTAGCACAAGATATTTCAGCTGAACTGTTAAAAGGTTAAAATTTCACAGCCATAATATTTCATGTACTTATCTTACTGATCTTGGCTGGAAACTTGGAACCGTAGAAGCTCTTTTTATTTTCTTGTATGTGTTTCCTCTGAATGTGGTATTTTTCATGGCTTAGCAGCTAAATTAAACATCTTAAAAGGTACTTTCTTATTAAAAAATCTTTCTTGTTGAAAGTATTACATATAAGGTAACTTATTTGTATCTTTCCTTTTCAGATGGTTCAATTTTTTCTTATTAACATGGATTTCTCTTCTCTTGGCTCTGAACTTTATGACTATTAACATTTCTTTGGTCTGTATCACATTATTTGAATGATGATCTCTTGGTCCAGAAAGTCAAGAAGGACTTCTTATCTTTAGGATCGCTGATAATACAGCTGTCTTGGTTGGAAACAAAGATGACCATGGTTTGCTCGAGGTCTGATTCAAGTATGTGAAGCAGTGGGCACCCAGATCAGGGTCCTGCTTAGCAATACTTTGTCAGTATGACCTATTTTCTACCTTTTCCAGTCTCTCCTGGAAGCTTGTCTCTGATTTCAAACTTCTTTAGTTTCTCTAACTGGCCCAAGGTGGACAGAATGTCTGGTGTACCCAGAGTCCAGTGTTAACAGATCAAAGGTATTGGGAGAGTCCCATGTGACAGGGAGTAAGATCAAATGTAAAAGCAGGTCTCATAGTATGTTAGAAATCAGCGCATAAGGTAGAAGGATAAGTTAAGAAAAGAGACCTTTGCCAAGAAACCAAAACAAAAGTACAGGGCAGTGAGAAATAGCTTAATACCAATTGGCATCTCAAGATATAATGCAAGAACTACTTAGCTCTTATAAAGTTTTGACCAAAGGATTATAGGAGTGTAATATGTGGACCAAAAAAAACACAAACACAAACAAAACAAAATAGAACAAAAAACAAACCCCATGAACAAAAGCAAAAAGGCTTTAAGGTGATTTATTTATTTATTTTTGCTTTACATATACTGAGGTATATTTTATATATACGTGATTCACCCATTTCAAATATACAATTCAATGATTTTTAGTAACATTAAACATAACCATAAATCAGTTTAACAATATTTTCATCCAGTAAGATCCCTCCTGTCCAAGAACCACTAATCTACTTTCTGTGTCCATAAACATTCTTTTTATGCTAAAGGAAATAAGCCAGTCAGGGAAAAGCAAGTACCACATGATCACACTCATACATGGAATGTAATGGACAGAATAAACTGATGAACAAAATAGATCCAGAGACATAGAAGCTTGGAACAGACTGTCATGCTTAAATATCAGAGGGAAGGTGGGGGGTGGCTGTGTGGGAAGAGATCAATCAAAGACCTTGTATGCATATATGCTTAACCCATAGACACAGACAATAGAGTGGTGAAGGCCTGGGGTGTGGGGTGGGGCGGGCTAGACGAGGTCAATGGGGATAAAGGGGGATATATGTAATACTTTCAACAATAAAAATTTTTTAAAAAAGGTTATTTGTTAAGTGTTGCATTGCTACCAAGGAAGGCCTACATATGTGCCTAACTAAATGGGACTCCAAACCTCTCTCTCTATTAAAATGATAATATAAATAAGTAATTGAAAGAACGGGGCTAGTTATGATGAAGTTGAGTGACTGTATAACCTCCTCAAAGGAAGTACAAGGAAGAAATGTAGATCAAGTAAAAAAAAAAAAGTGCAGGAGAAAGAGGTGAGGCAGTTATATAGAAGTATATGCAACCATGCCTACTTGATCAGGAAATTCTTGGGGAATTCTTGCTTCTCCTGTTGACTGATTCAATATTAGTAGATAATGTCATAATATTGCTTCAGTTATTCTTCTAATTGGTATCACTGCTTAAAAGAAACAGCTTTATAGTGTAGGAAAAGGCAAAAGTCTGTTCTCCTAAAGTCTCCTCTAGACTGGCTGAGATTGGGGCAGTCCAAGAAATCTAGTGGGTTTGGGCCTCTCCTAATTGGATTGGAAGAGGGACTCAGCAATATTGTTATACTGACATTTGGAAAGTGAATGTACTTTCAAAATTTCAACGTTGGGTTCCGTATCACACTTGACTTGCTTTATTATGGTGCTACTGTCTGCATCAATAGGAGTGATATCTCTGGACATGATATTTCAAAGATTCTGGGGTTCAGTTTTAATCATTTAATTTCTTTAGTTGTTCTGAACCTATAATTACATGGTTGGTTCAAGGAATTTCAATGTTCCATGAAATTTGGTCTTCTACTTTGCAAACTTTCTTAATCACTTTTATCCTTAGACCAAGGGGTGGTAATAAATTAGTGGATGGGAAAAATCACACATTATTGGCTCAGTCCCCATACAGCCCATCTGGGAAAAGTCCACCCGAGAGGTAGCTTTAGAACTATAGCTTATAAATAGTGCTTTAGAAGCTAGCAGAAAGCCCTTGCCTCCTGGTTACCATTCCTAAAAGTGAACCCCTGAAGTACACATGGAAACTGAGAGTCCATCTTAGAATGGCATCTGTGGTCGTCAGGCCACTAAAGGAAGCCAAGAAACTTTCCAGTCTTAAAAACCCGGAAGCCTTTAGTGATGTCTGACTCTTCTCCCGAGATCCCTCCTCATTCCCCACCCCCCGCCATGAGAATGCTCTTCCAAGTCATTTGGTAATTTTTCATAACTTTTATCTGAGTGGCCATTTTCCCATTTTTAGTCTATTACTATCCACTTTCTCTTAAGTCAGGAAATTAAAAGTCTTTTGTTCCTAATCTTTCCTCTCTCTTTAGTTCTTAGTTATCTCACTAGCTACCTTTTCATCCTTAATATCAGCACAGTTTCTGGAATCATAGATTATTAGATTCTCTCCCATAAATTAATAAATCAGAATCCAGGTTCCACTTGGTTGCTATTTCCTTGAATAGCAATCACAGTAGTCTTCCTTATCCATGAGGGTTTTTTTTGAAGACCCCCAGTGGATACCTGAATCTGTGATGGAACCAAACCCATATATACTAGGTTTTCCACCCCTATACATACCTACCTATGATAAAGTGAAATTTATAATTTAGGCACAGTTATTGTTAGTGGAGAGGAAAGGATTTGAACCAAAGGCTGTGTCTAAACCTCATGCTCTATCCTTTCTAGTATGTGATAAATTGTATATTTAAAAATATTATAATTTATTTTTTATCATAAATGATTTGAGAATAGGTAACATGCATCATGTCCCTTTCTTTCCCATAATCTCCTTGTGTATATCCTAAGGAAAAGGCTATTCTCTTATATAAGCACTAAAGGCCCGGTGCACAGATTTTGTGCACTCGAATGGGGAGATGGGGGGTTCCCTCAGCTCTTCCTGTGCCCTCTTGCAATCCTGGATCCCTCAAGGCATGTCTGATTGCTGGCTTTAGGTCCGATTCCACAGGGACAGGATCAGGCCTAAACTGTCAGTCGGACATCCCTCTAGCAATCCAGGACCATTGGCTCCTAACCGCTTGCCTGTGTGCCTGCCTGATTGCCCCAAATCACCTCTGCCTCAGGCCCCACCACCATGGTTTTGTCCAAAAGGATGTCTGGAATGATGTCCAGAAGGTCATTCAGCTATCCAGTCTAATTAGCATATTATACTTTTATTATTATAGGTAGTACAGATGTCAAACTTTGAGATGATACTTTAATCTACAGTTTATTCTTCAACTTTTTCTACTGCACAATCATGCCCTTTAAAACTATTTTCCCCATTTCAATAGAGAATCACCTAATAAGACATTTCGGGCTCATATTATACTTTCCTGGACAACCTTGAAGCCAGCAATTTCTTTAGCAGCTCTATTTTCATCAAGTAAGAAATAGTATTTAGCAAACAAGATGGAGCACTGGCTGTGCTACTCATTGCTACTGACTAGGGCCTATCGTTTCCAAGCTTTTTTCATTTGTAGCCTGGCCAACAAAATATATTATCAAGATTTCAAATATTTATCAGTCTGATGAGAGAAAAATAGGATATCAGTGTAGTTTTAGTTTGTATTTCTCATATTATAGTGAACTTGAACTGCATTGTCTATAGAACAGTCATGGAATACTGCTTTTCTTAGAACAGATTTGTAGAGTCATGAGACAAAGTTCTGTTTTATAAAGAGTCGGATCTATAGGGTGAGTAGTAGAGCAATCCTATAGGAGGAAGCTGAGAGGCAGAGGGGTTAAGTAACATGTCCAAGGTCACACAGCATACTAGTGACAAAGCTGTGGTTTAACACAACTACCCTGCCACCCCTCCCAGCCCTTTGGCAATGATTTATCAGATACCTTTTTGAACAACTGCTTCTTTTAAGCTGCTGTACATTTGTGTGTACATTAAAATTTGACCTTGTTATATAACTTCTGGCACAAAAAGTTATTGGTAGCCTGCCTATACCCCACTTAAGCTCCTGCTGAAGTTTTTACC